GTCAGTGTACGACGCTGCGTTTGTGAACACGGAGCTCTCGAAACCGACGTCAATCTTCGGGCTCCGGCTCTGGGTCGTCATCGGAATCCTAGTCGGGTCTCTGATAGTCCTGACCCTCTTCCTCCTCTCGCTCTGCCTCACCTCGCGCCACCGCTCCAAGGCCCACAAGGCCCAGCCCAAGCCCACCACCGACTCGCCCACTCCAGTGACATCGAAAGAAATCCAGGAAATTGTTCACGACCTCCATGTCGAGATCGGGAAGCCAGACCATCGGGTCGTGGTGTATTCGGACCGGGCGTCGAGTGGGGACAGTAAGGGGACTTTGAATAGTGGGGGTGAGACGGCGTCGTATGGGAGTGGGAACGTGGTGGGGCCCGAGGTGTCGCATCTGGGGTGGGGGAGATGGTACACTCTGAGAGAGCTTGAGGCGGCCACCAATGGGCTCTGTGAAGAGAATGTGATTGGGGAAGGTGGGTATGGGATTGTTTACAGTGGGATTCTCAGTGATGGGACTAAAGTCGCTGTTAAGAACTTGTTGAATAACAGGTACTCGAAAAAAACTCAGTTTTTTGTTTATAAAAGATGAAAATTTTATGTGTACTTTGTGGTTTCTGGTGGTTTTCTGATTAGGCAAGATTTGATGAGAAATTTTGGTTCTTTAATTGGCCATGGATTGGAATTCCAAGTTTGTAATCTCTGTTTCGGTTGCTGAATAAGCAAAAATGAAAATTTTGCGAGTTTTTGGCTTTTTCATTTTTGGGTTTTCAAATTGCAGAACCTTACTAAAACAGGACAGCTCAACACTAAAAATAGAAGGTTTTTCTATTCGTTATTATTATTATTTTCTTAATAATTCCTAATTGGCGTTTGGATATGTCTGATAATCATTGTATCATTTCTAGTTATAGTGATAGAAAGATGCGTTATTTATAAGATAACCGTATGAAGTTGACTTCATGTTTGCGGAGTGAAATTTTTTCCTGTAATTCTAAGAGTATCAAGTTTTTTTTCTATTTTCAATTAAAAAAAATTTTATGTTCTTACATTTTCTTGGCAACTAAACAGAGTACCTCTCTGTTGGTTAATTTTATGGGTGGTTCACTGTTTACCTCTCTTTTTTGGTTTGATTCCCTTTCTGCTTGTTATTCTTGTCTTGCGTCTGTTAGAATTGGTGCTGTAAAGTCACATGCTTTCTGAAAAAGAGTGCTTATAGTCAAGCTTGAATTCATGATGTAGTAGGCATCAGAATAAGTTTCTCTCTCTACTCTCTCGTCATCACACATTGACTAATTCACTTATCCCAAATTTCTTTTTGTTGTCCTTTTGCCTCTGTTCGTACTGTTTAGTGTATGGCTGCTATAGCCAGCAATTAACGGATGGTACTTTACTTTGTGCCTTGGATTTTGGGTATCTCATTATCTTTTATAAGCGTGAGTAATGCATTTGCTTATGACACTGATTGATAATCAGGGGTCAAGCTGAGAAGGAGTTTAAAGTGGAGGTGGAAGCAATTGGACGTGTGAGACACAAAAATCTTGTAAGGTTGCTGGGATACTGTGTTGAGGGTGCATACAGGTACTAATAATTCATCCTACAATTTGAGTTTTGAGTTTGTGTTTCTTGTGGAGTGTCTTAGAGATTTCATAAAACTTCTGTTTTTTTGTTTGTTTCAGGATGCTTGTGTATGAGTACGTTGACAACGGCAATCTGGATCAATGGCTTCATGGGGATGTTGGTGAAGTCAGTCCGCTAACATGGGATATCCGTATGAATGTTATACTGGGAACAGCGAAAGGGTAATAAGATCATATTAGTTTCACATGTTTCTTCTTTTTCTTTGTTAATTAAAAAAGAAAAGAAAAAGAAAGTACTTATTCATGCCCTTTTGTGTTTCCTCATTGTGCAGGTTGGCCTATCTTCATGAGGGTCTTGAACCAAAGGTTGTTCATCGTGATGTGAAATCTAGCAACATACTAGTTGATCGCCAGTGGAACCCCAAAGTATCTGATTTCGGGCTTGCTAAGCTCCTGTGCTCGGAGAACAGTTATGTGACAACTCGAGTGATGGGAACATTTGGGTTAGTTTTTTATTTTTTTATTTTAAAATTTTATGTTGATTAACCTAAACATATGCATCAAGGCTCATGTAGTTATGTGCTTAAAGTTTGAAAATAAATCTTATATTTGGTGGTTTTTTTAGTTATGTTGCACCAGAATACGCTTGCACAGGAATGCTGAACGAAAAGAGTGATGTTTATAGCTTTGGAATACTTATTATGGAGATTATATCAGGGAGAAGCCCTGTTGATTATAGTCGACAACAAGGAGAGGTTAAGCTTGAAACCTTTCCCCCCTCTTCATGTATTGAGTTTTCTTTTGCTCCTGCTAACTGTATGCTGAAATGTAATAAATCTTTTCAGGTTAATCTAGTTGAATGGTTGAAAACCATGGTTGGGAAACGAAAAGCTGAGGAAATAGTTGATCCCAAGCTGCCTGAGATGCCTGCTTCAAAAGCCCTTAAGCGTGCTCTGCTGGTTGCTCTTCGATGTGTTGATCCTGATGCCACAAAAAGGCCAAAAATGGGACATGTGATCCACATGCTTGAAGCTGATGACTTGCTTGTTCGTGATGTATGCATCATGAAGAACTAATATAACAATTTTTTATGACCTTTTGTTCTTGATATGGAATTCCTTATCCAGTTTTTTTCCATTACATGCAGGAACGCCGAACTGGTAGAGATACGTCCCAATTAGATCCTGATTATCAACAGGACGATCATGTTGTTGTGAAGATAGCAGATAAACACTTGAATGAAGGGACTTCTGATACTAGTGAAGGTGATACTGGTAGGAACCATCATCAACCTACAAGGTGGAGATAATGCCCTTGGAAGATTAGGTGACTAACAGCTTTAAGTTCTGTCCAAGTTTCTGAAGCTCATTTTTCTTCCACCCAGATTTTGGCTGTATCTTCAATAATTTACATTTGTTACATGCTTAGTTACATATTTTTTTTAGGATGGGCATCGTATTCGGATGCATTTGTACAATTCAAACAATTTGTTCTTCATTCTTATAGGAAACATAATTCATCAATATTGTTTTGTTTGTAAAACAAGATATCATTAGAGTTACACAAAAAAAAAATATATATATTATTTCTCAGTTTCTTATGTTTATTCCATTTTAATTTGATTGTCCAACTTTATCATGTTATGTTGGCTAACAACCTTGTCACCATCAATGCCAGCCTAAAAGTTAGATGGTGATGAGCAGGTGGGGCCCTTTAACCATGTACTCTGATAGAAGCACTTAAGAGTACATCAACATCAATGCCTTGGATGGTTTCTGAGAAATGACCCAGAAACCAGCTAATTCAGATGAAACAGCTGCTGCTGCTGCTGGAAGCCTGCAACTTTCTTCTTCATGTGGTTTTTCTTGTCCTTGTTGGACCAGCAAGCAGGGCAACTGGGATCTGCGCTGGAACTGGGGTCATGGTTTTTGGCTTCACCATCAATGCCAGAACATGCCTTTGCCCTTGCAAAGATAAATGATAAACTTAAGCTGGCCATGGATAATGTTTTGGGGAGAACCCCTTTGTCTTTTTGTCTGCAGAATGCAATTTTAGGCTTGGTTTATTGGGTGAATAGGTCTTCTTCTAGTGAATTTTTCTTTGTTTACTGTTTTAGGGAACCCGATGCTTGTCCTCCTAATTGTAGCATCTGAGACTTTTTCCAATGCATTTCTTTGCGTTGCGTAAAAGTTCAAATGTTTGACTTTGGCAAGAAAATTGTGTCAAAAAAGCCATGTGCAAAGGGCCCAAGCTTATCCCTACCCTTCTCACAGCCTTAGCTGTTTTCTCGATATCTATTGTCCACTTATAATATAATAAGATTCTTTCGTGAAATTCACACTAATTAACGGTTCATTATTATTTGTTTTTGCGAGTTTTTAACCTAGTGGACCATTTGGACTTTGTTTTCCTTTTCATAAATCTAAGGGTGACTTAAGGGGGAATCTTGCAATTATATTTACTTGGCAGGCATTGCCGACTGATTAGTTTGCTCCTTATCTTTTAATCCACTTCTTGTTTGTTTTTTTAGGTGAGACCCAAGGGTATCCACCGCCGACAGTAGTGACTAATTCCTTTCGCCGCGGAAGCTCTCCTAATGGAGGTAAACGGCTGGCCACAAAATGCTTCTTGTTTGTTTTTGGTGTGTCCTAAGTACACAAAACTATTATCTTTATTGCTTACATATCTAGATAAATATCTAGATAGATGAGTGTTTTCCTTTTATATTGACCTAGGTCCCTAGGTTACATTTTTCTCAACTATGTTACATGATAATGAAACAATAGTCAGTCACCACCACTGTGATTTCCCTACCATTGTTGCTATCCTCAAGTTTATATTTTGGGTAGGACTGCCCTATGCAACATCACACTCACGAGTCACAACACGAGGGTGAGATCGATGGTCTAATTTAATATAATGAATTTTTTTTTTAATATAAGCGATAGTCTAATTTATAAAAATAAACTTTAAAACTTGGATACATAGGGTGTCCTCACCAACTATCGTAGCTGTCACATGATAATGGACTTGAACTAACATTAGCAAAGTTCTTTTAAAAAAAAGAAAAAAGAAATATGAGTTATCTGGCGGGCCGAAGCCCAAAGGCCCAGAACAAAATCAAAACGTTCTCAACCAACTACCAATCAGCACCGTCGATCTGTATGATCTACATGCAGAGAATTGACGCTGATTTCAGATCAGAGGTACGAAAACCCGCCACGTTTCTTGCAAAAGCATAATCAAAACCGTCCACTAGCAGGGGAGACAACGGGTACCCTGAGTGCAGCCCCAGCATAACAATCGAAGGTCCTCGAAACCCAACGGAAATATCAATGGTCTAGCCGTACATCCCAATTTGTATTGACCCACGTGTCCTGCTATCCCGTAAATCCCTGGGTGAGCCTATCACTATCCCTCACCTACTTGGAAACAGCAGCTTCTCAGCAGCCTCACATTTTCAACGATACCCAAAAGCCGAGTCGCCAAGGCTGAAACTTTCATCGAAATTTCTCGATCTATCTTCTGAATCAGGTACGGCCCTCTCTTTCTCTCTCTATGTAGCTCTCTTTCTTAGATCTGCTATCTGTTTACAATATAATCAGAGTGAAAGTTTTCAGCTATTCTTTTTTTCATTTTTTGAAGTTTTGTTTCCTTTAGATTGACCTTAGGGTTAGGGTTTCAGCTTTCAATTTCTCAACAATCGGTTCAGATTTCTAGATATCTACGGTTAGGTAAGTGGCTCGGTGCACAGAAATGTTTAATTTTGTGTATGTATAAGTTATTTGCATATGTTTTCATTTCTGCTGCGCTTATATGATTTGATTGGGTAAAGCTTTAGTTCTTTTTGTTTAATTTTGTTGTAGATCCTAATACTTTGTGATGTTATGCTTATATCTATGAGGCTAAAGTTTGTGGCTTGAAAATTTGGGTAGAAATTTGTGGTTTTCTTTATTAAGAACATATGGCTTGGAATTCCAGTCTTGTTATTTGTTGACCGTCCCTTTGGTACCTTAGAAAGTGGCAAAAAATAGGATGACAGTTAAAGGATTTATTTTTTCCTTGAAAGTTTTGCTTTGCCTGGTCTTATTTTGATTCCGTTAGGTGGAAAACAGAATTTCAGCCAAGTCTCTGTTTATCTATTTTTATTTTCCTGAAGAGAAATCTAGAATTAAGAGGGTTGTTTGTTTTGTTCTGGGGGGTTATGGCATGGTAATTCATCGTGTACAAGATGTAACTTGGTTAATCTTTATTTTTTTAATGAATGTTACTGGGAAAGTTTAAATAACTCATCTGACATGCATGAAATCGTTTGAAGTTTTGCAGTGGCATGCTATTGAAATGGAAGAAACGAATAGAGAATACTTGTGTTTTCTGTTTTATCTATCTGCAGCTGATATTGTCAACTCAAATTGGCTTATTCTTTGGGTGATTTACTCACTTCAGAAAGCCAACCAAGTTTTGGACATGTTGAAGAATTTTAGCCCAATTTTTCACTTTTGAATTTTAGCCACTTGATGGCGGTTCCAGTGCTGCTCGAGGGGTCCGAAGAGGGCCCAGCGATGCTCGTAGGGGCTCGAGCACTGCTGGAGAAGCCTCGAGTGGCTATAGTTCTAAATCTTGAGAAAATATGCTAAAAGTCCTTAATGTGTTAAAATGAAGGTTATTTGTCCAAAATTCTCTACTCAATTTGGCATATTTGTGTGTTTATATAATTTCGTTATTCTAGTGCCTGCAAAATTACTGAAAGGTGGCATAAAGATCTTTCTTGAGTTTTATTTTCTTTTATTCTTTGCTGTCATCTCCTGGCTAGCACATGGTAATGAGCTTTTTGTCTTGCAATGCGTCATTGTGGATAGAGGTTGTCCAACAATCTGATTTTAAAAGGAGCTAGTTTGGTAGATGTTCATGTGGCTTTTGATTCTGACATGTTCAGTGGGATGAGTTTGTGATTTCCAACATGATATCTCAGCGTGTTAATGATTTCCTCACTATTGGATGCCTTTTGAAGGCTGATTCACATTATGATATCTAATCAAATTTGCTTCTTGCAGTGTTTTCACCATAATGAGTCGTCCACAGGAACCACACCGACCTTTCTTCCATTTTGGAAATCCTTTCCGGATGATTTCACCAAAGGGTTCTCATCTGTCTCCAAAGCTTGTTGCACTGTTAAACACTTTTGAGGAGACATTGGCTGGGAGGCTGAGAAAGCTTAACCCGAATGACAAGGATGATGTCCTCAGCTTGTCATGGATGAAATTGGCGATGGAGTCTCTTTGTGGAACTCATAATGACATAAAAACCCTCATATCTGAGATTGACCTCCCTGTGAGTGACTGGGATGAGAAATGGATTGACGTGTACTTGGACATCAGTGTAAAGTTGCTTGATGTATGCATTGCTTTTAGCTCTGAGATCTCACGTTTAAACCAGGGCCATCTATTTCTTCAGTGCGTCTTGCATAATTTGGATTCCACCTCTTCTAACCAATTTATTCGGGCCCGCTCTTCACTTGATGGCTGGAGGCACCATATTGGTTCAAAGAACCCCAGAGTTGAGAACTGTAGCACCATTTTAGACAAGCTTGTGGAATCCCTTGATCTGCCAAAGGTGAAGAACTCAGCCAAAGGGAAACTTCTAATGCGTGCTATGTATGGAGTGAAGGTGTTGACAGTATCTGTTTGTAGTGTCTTTGCTGCAGCCTTTTCTGGTTCTGCAAAGAAGTTGTTAGATTTGAATGTTGCTGAGACGTATTTGTGGGCTCAAGCATTTAATGACTTTCAGGGTAATGTAAATGGGGAAATTAGAAATGTATTTTCTAGCGGAAGATTCATGGTACTTAAAGAGCTGGAAGCAGTTGATGGTATTGTAAAGGAGTTGTATCCCAAGATCCAAGATGGTGTGGGCCTTGCTGAAGGGAAAGCGTTCCACAGTTCTATTTCTGATTTAGAAAGTAAGGCACAGAAACTTTCTCAGGGACTTGATCTTCTTACAAAGGAAGTGGATGGCTTTTTCCAAATCCTTTTAACTGGACGCGACGCATTGCTTTCGAAACTGAGATCAGGGGGAGCAGTCTCAGACCAGATGCTGGCGGGAAATGTAGGAGCTCAGGTTGTCAGATGATCATAGCGAAGCTAATCTCTCTTATTTATAAAGATGGTTTTAGGTATGGGGCTTTATGTTTTCTGATTTTTGTAAGTATTCCATCTTGTATGGCTTGTTGTAATCAGTATGTTGTGAGTTGTAGTTACAGTATTACTGTATTGCCTTGTTGTATAAGTATGTTGAACTATGGGTTGCTAATGATATATGAAAGGGTTTGGTTTGAAACCGTGGGAGTCAGCTATTCTATCGCTTTATTTTGTGCCATTGGTTTTAAATTAAAGATGTATGCGTGTTCACCTTCTTTTTTTTCACTTATGGTTCACTCGTGAGAATATGTTCGCTACTTGGATGGAAGAACTACCTAAATTTTCCGATGTCGAGCATGTTCCAGGGATGATTTCCAGCAAGAAGTTTCTCTCCTGGACTGGCACAAATGCACGATGCGTGGTAGTACAGTGTATACTCGTCTTGTATGATATCTTGCAAAAATCTGTTAATTTAACCTCACCTAGTGAATGAGCTCATGCCTAGAAGTATCTTTTTAAAATGCTAAGGCTCTTTTATTGTTATGATGTTATTAAGATTCTTTTTCTAAGAGGGTTTTAAACCCATCGAGGCATGAATTTCTGGTTATATTTTTCAGAGCACATTGCATGATGGTTGGACCAAAACAAAGAGAGCATGATGGTCGAAATTGTCATACACAATAATGACTTTGGCGTGCATTTTGCTAATGAATCAAACTAGGTGCGTTTCAAGCAGCATTGAGCATGTATTTCTTGACTTGCCAACTGAAGATGTAGGAAATATGTCAAGCTACTTTGCACCTGATTCCAGTGACCTCAAAGGTTTCCACAAGAAAGTTTTAGGTTTTTTCCCCCTCTGTATCATCTGGTACTCTTTTTAAACTGCTTGAACTTCCTCTACCCTGCGTTTGGGCGGGGGATTAAAAGACTTAAAACTTCCCATGATCATCACTACTATCACCAGCCGCTACTGTACCACCACCACCACAACCATCGTTGCTGTAGCTGCCACCACAACTCCAATTTTCCATGACCATCCCCACTGCCCCTATTGTCATTGCTACCGCCACCACCATCCCCCACAACCATCGTTGTTGCCACCCCAATCCCATTGACGTCGCCAATTCCACCACCACTCTCCTCCCACCCCATTACCACCTTACTAATAGCAGCCCCACCGCTTATTATAGATTTATGTCTCTATAAAGATAAACGTTAAATTGTAGTGTAATTTTAGATTTGCTAAACAGGAAACTTAACAATTTCTAAAATTTTTTTATCCTGCCATTTTAAATTCTTAGTTTTCAAATTCCTCAGTACTCTTACATTCCCCATCCAAACGCAGGGCTGCAGTTAGCGTGGATTAAGATTGCAGATTTTTCCACTGAGAATTGCAGGTTTTTGGCATGAACATGGGATTTTAGAAGAGAAGCAAGTCTTTGGGAACGTTAATCAGCCATTCCTGGTGCAAGGAGACAACACCAACTTGATTGTTCAATATTTGAATTAAGATGGAGAGATCAAACAACATGAGCATTAAAATGGTCTACTTCCCCCACTCAACACTCAGGACTCTAAAAAGGCCCAAGACACTAGGCTTTCCCATTTGCGTTTCTTTACGCAGACTGGTCAGCTTTCTAGTTTCTTTCCTTCCATCTCTCCAACACAAAGAAAAATGGATATATAGTCAAAAAAAAGTCTCCAGCCTTAACCTACCAAAACCAACTTGTATCTAAAAAGGACCCACCGTTCGTAATGTATGCACCAAACCAATACGGAAATTAGGCCATTATCTTAAAGCACAATCATTGTCAAAAGTTCATACTTTACCTACCAAAGGGGATCATATTCTATGTTTTTAGCTAAACCAAAGCTTAAAGCTACCCAAGTAGCCAATCCATCCCTCACTATCGAAATGACTCAAACGGTATGACCCTAGTTTATTTATTTGACGAATTGAAATGGCATGACCCAATACAACTTTGCACTTCCAATGACATCATGCAGCCTAGTAGTCATTACTATGAAATTTGTGTTCATGTTCAGACTTCATATTAGAAGGAGACTTCCTTTAACGTAAGGTAAATGGTTCAAAACTTTGACTTTAGACTTTTCTACAATTGTTTGTTCGTTTCCGTCCGTTCGTACATTTGGAAATTGTTAGTTAATATGAGATTCAATGTGAAATCCACACTAATAAAATTATTTATACGTGTTTAAATATTTATATTCGTTTTCATACTTGAGTCAACGATTAATAGTAAATTATTTATGCTTGTGTGAACGACAATCAAATTTTAGAAGAAGATATTATGGCTTTTTTCTTTTTGGGTTCAAGAGATTTTTTTTTTTTTGGTTTGAACCATGAGGTGGTCCTGGATGGGCCTCAACTATGGGTGGCACCTTTAAGCCTTAACCACAACCCAGACTAATCCCCACTCACACCGGGTCGGCCCGTAAGGGGTAAAGTGTTGGCCAAAGTTGTGACTCCGTACGAGAGCAGGGATCGAACCCCTGACCTCTCTTAAGGAATGAGAGTGCCGAACCACTCACACCAACCACCTTGGTTTAGTTCAAGAGAATTTTGGGTAGGGAAGAAAACAGTTAAAAGAAAAGAACACCAAAAATTGGAAGAAAACAGTCAAATGAAAAGAACACCAAAAATTGGAAGAAAACAGTCAAAAGAAAAGAACAACCAAATTTGGAAGAAATTTCATTAAAACAAAACATGTAGACTTTTGATTTTTCAAGAACCATGCATTTGACTATCAACAATATTTTTTTTTTTGGGGTCAAAATTTGACTATCAACATAAGTTTCAAACCCAACACTATTTCTATTTTTCTTTTTCTTTTCCTTTTTCCAAAATCACAGACAGCACACCCATCTTCACAAAAAGAAGAGTCAAAAAGTCCATTTCCTCACGGGTGACCCAAGCTTTTCCAGTTCAAAAGCCTTCTTGAAAGATCTCTCTCTCTCTCTCTCTCTCTCTCTCTCTCGTTCAGACCCCCATTTCTTTTGATTTTCCAAAAGAACCCCTATAAGAAAGAAGGAAATGTCAAAACCTTTACACCTACCGACACACCCTCCCCAAATTTTGCATTAGGAGCTATTCTCCTCCATCATTAGCGCTCTCTATAGCTCCTTCTCTACAAGTCTTAGCCTTTTAGCCCCGAAATCCTAACTGGTTCTTGACCCATTTCGTATTCGGATCCCTGGTTCACTATGGAATCCAGCTCTGCTTCAGCAGGTGATCACAACATCAAAGGGGTACCTGCCCACGGTGGACGCTATGTTCAGTACAATGTGTACGGTAACTTCTTTGAGGTTTCTAGGAAGTACGTCCCTCCCATAAGGCCCGTAGGGAGAGGTGCTTATGGTATTGTTTGGTAAGAACTTGTACTGGGTTTTGAGCTTTTATTGTTTGTTCAACTTTTTTAGCTTTGGGTTTGCGTCTGATGGTGTGTTGATTGCTGTTGCTTGATCGTTTGGGAATAGTTTGGTTGTATGGAAGTGCCTTTTATTGGTAGAATCGGAGAGTTTTGATTCAAGAAGCGGGACAAGTACTTTCTAGTTATGACATAACGTTTTCTTAATTCAATCTGAGTGTATGTGGGATTTTGGTATTTTTAAAGATCTCTCATCTTGCAATTTAGCCAGGTTTGTTAGAGAAATATTGTTTTCTGGATTCTAATTTTGTTTCTTTGGTTTTGTTTTCTTGAGGAGAGGAACTTGGTTATGGGTGTTTTTTGGTATGAAGATTTGTTGGTTGGGAAATCTTGTTTTCGTAAACCAGGATAGAACTTGGGGTTTTATGTACGTTTATAAAAATGTTATGAAGGTTGTGAGTTGTCATTAAAGTCGGGCTTTTTGCCTACAATAAATATCTCTTGCAGTACTAGTGTGTTTGAGTGCAGTGTTCTTTCTTTTCGGGTTAATGATGTGCTATTATAAGTTTATCAATAAGAATTGCTCTTTTCCTCTTATCTGACTTATCCTATCTGTTATCAACAATTTGGAGGAAGATAAAATTTTTTGGTTGCATTCAGTGCTGCTGTTAATGCTGAGACTCGTGAGGAGGTTGCCATTAAGAAGATTGGTAATGCATTTGACAACAGAATTGATGCCAAGAGGACTTTACGAGAAATTAAACTTCTTCGGCACATGGATCATGAAAATGTAATTTTTTGTGGCCTTCTGTCCTTTATGTTCCTACAAGAAATCTCTTATGCCTCCCCTCCCCAATTGTCATCACTATATCTTTGGAGATATTTTTTTCATTTATCAAACATTAAATTGATAATCGGTTTATTTTGTCATAATATCTGATTATTCTCCACTTAAAAATTTTCAAAAATAATCCATTTCTCTTGATCACATCTGGAGTAATAGGTCTCGCAGCCCTTTCATTAATGACCCTGTAAATGATTTTTAATTTTTAATTTTGTCTTGAATTTACACTGTGTCAGTAGAAGACTCACTTAAAACGGCTCCTTATGTAACTTTGTTGAGATACTTACAAGCACTTTTCAGATGCCTTGAGGGATCATGTCTATTAAAGCATTTTTATGAGACCTGCTCCACCAGCCACAGAGTGGGTCTGGCACAAGGTTATCTATAATGGGTAGAGTTTGGGAAGGGATTTTCTGCCATAAACCCTCCATTTGAGCATTTCTAGAAATTCACCTGGACTTAGTTCTGCCTGTTTGCACAGATATTGTTCAAAAACTTTGAGTCATGATCATGCTAAATTGTTTCTTTATGTTTTTCGGGGGTAAACAGCTTACTGACAGCTCTTTCTATGTTGCAGGTTATTGCCATCAAAGACATCATACGGCCTCCACAGAAGGAGAACTTCAATGATGTCTACATTGTTTATGAATTAATGGACACTGATCTTCATCAGATTATACGGTCCAACCAACCTTTAAACGATGATCATTGTCGGGTTGGCACTATCTTTCTTTCTTGGTTTATATTATGCTGGTTATGCCCTTTTAGTTATTATAGTTGAGCATCCACTGGAAAGTTTTAACTTTTGACAGTAGGTTCCTGGTTTATATTATGAGCATACTCAGGAAGGTTCTAAACTGTTGACAGTAGTTTTGTTTTTGTTTCAAAGGCCAATACTTCATAATTGGGTTTTAGATTTCTATTTGTTAGGTTACTGGTTATAGCAATACATGTTTGTCACTTATTTAGGTTGAATTAAGCAACTACTAAAGATGGTAGACATATTCCTTTTCACCACTCAGGTTTATGTAGGGTCAATCTTTTCACCACTCAGTTTTAAATAAGGTCAACCTTTTCACATATCCTTTAATAGCTTGATAATAAATCGTGACTCTTCATCGCATCTTGCAAACAAGTTTCTCTTCATCTCATCTTGCGAACAAGTTCTCTTCATCGCATCTTGCAAACAAGGTTCTGTTCTTTTGTTTATTAACTTATAGATCAATGAGATGGCAAGTATATTTTCTTCTTTGGTTGGAAGACTGCTCTATATGTTTATTTGCAAGTTTTCTGGATCTGTTATTTTCAAAATGACTATACTTCAGAAGTTCTTACATGCGACCTCATAGATACAGAAAACAAGAATAAACTAAGATAAAGTTCTATGCATTTTAATCTTGGTTTGTCAATGGCTGTCATGATCATGATTTCGGTGTTACAAGCCTGAGCTTTCACTAATACTTAAATGCCTCCTTCGCAGTACTTTCTGTATCAGTTGTTAAGAGGGCTCAAATATGTACATTCGGCAAATGTTTTGCATCGTGATTTGAAGCCCAGTAATTTGCTCATGAATGCAAATTGCGACCTTAAGATTGGAGATTTTGGCCTTGCAAGGACAACATCTGAAACTGATTTCATGACTGAGTATGTTGTTACTCGTTGGTACCGAGCACCGGAGTTACTCCTCAATTGTTCGGAGTACACTGCAGCAATTGATATATGGTCTGTAGGTTGCATTCTCGGGGAAATTATGACCAGACGGCCCCTGTTCCCTGGCAAAGACTATGTACATCAGCTGAGACTCATAACAGAGGCATGGTTTCTAAATCTTGCTTGTGGAATCTAGACAGTTGTGTCACTGCACTTTACAAATTTTCCGATTCAAGAGTCAAAGAGGTCTCTTATAAAAAAAGAAAGAAAAAAAAAGTCAAAGAAGTCTCTTTTGATACGTTTGGCTATTTTTCTTGTTGGCATATGGCACAAAGTGCCTGAACCTGTCTGATTCTCTGGACATCAAAGTGAAACAGTGAATTTCTAAGAAGTTTAATATATACGATTTTATGAGAGATAGACAATGAACACCTCTTTCAGAAACGATCATAATTGTTTTTGTTATGTGTTGAACAGCTCCTAGGTTCACCTGATGACTCCAGCCTTGGATTTTTACGAAGTGATAATGCTCGAAGATATGTCCGGCAACTACCTCAGTATCCAAAGCAGAGCTTTTCTGTTGGATTTCCTAATATGTCCCCTGGCGCTGTTGATTTGCTCGAGAAGATGCTTGTCTTTGACCCTAACAGGCGCATTACAGGTATTCTTGGTCATTGTGTTGCACTTCAACCAGCATTGGTAATGAACTGGAACATTTAGAAAATATCAGAAAATAATTAGTGCTAGAAAACATAGTAATGAGAAAATTTAGTATTCATTATTCTGATATATTTTGGCAGAAACAATATTTGAATTTAGAATTTAGAAATAGCAATGCATTTGTTTCCATTTCCAGAGTTTTGCAGTTAACTAGGAAATATTGCTTTGTAGTTTTCAAAACAAATTGTTGTACTTAATGAAGGCATTAATGCTTGGTATGTCTCTGAGCTTATTACTAGAGCAACTGGACTTGTTGATAATTTTCTTCTTGTTAATTGGATTGATGATTAGTTTTATCGCTGGTGCTTTGCAGTTGATGAGGCTCTTTGCCACCCCTACTTGGCACCTCTTCATGATATCAACGAGGAGCCCATCTGCCCGATGCCTTTCAATTTTGATTTTGAGCAACCATCCTTTACAGAAGAGAACATCAAGGAGCTCATCTGGAGAGAATCTGTAAAGTTCAATCCAGATCCAATTCACTGAGGATCATGCTATAATCTGTTGTATGCACTTAGAAAGTAATCCCAAAACTGATTACAATGATACTCTACTGGAAGAAAGACATTATAAAAACTGTGCTGGAGTGATTGGATTTCCTGAGAAATTGTCCTGAGATGTCATTCATTCAACATTATCACGTCTTTGGATGTCTGTAATTGTCAAATGTGTAAAAGGAGATCAAAAGCTGAATCTCAAGTCTGCCTCTTCAGTTAGAACTCCAATCCCTCATTGGTGTAGGTTTCTGCTTTGGTTGTCGACGTAGGAGCTGTGGTTAGCGGCTTTTAATACTATTAAGACCATTACCCAGCACTGTTGTAGGGCCTTGCGGTCTTGTGATCATCTCTGTTTAGAATGGTAGGTCTGAATATGAACAGTTGCTTCGTTTCGATATGATACGTGTACTTCGTCATCTCATAATTTGTCGTGAATACCCATAAATGTGTACATTTTGCTTTCAAGTTATTTTTTTTTCCCACTGTTAAGACGTTTAAGAGAACTTCCTGTATGGCTTCATTGTGAAATGGAATAAAATGCTTATTTAGAAACTTTTGACAGCGGCATCTAAAATTTATAAGTATGGGAGAGCATGCTTGTAAGCTGGATGCTGTCCCAGTCTGTATGTACATAGCTTTTTGAAATTTGACATAGTTCGTATTCATATTTCAAATTTCTCAAACTTACTAAAATGTGAAAAAACCTCTCCAGATTCTTGTCCTCAAATCTGGTATTTAGGTTTTGGTAGTGTGATAATACAGTGAAAAACACTAATAATATTACATCATTTGAGGATTGTTATAGATAGCTCATCCTATATGTACACTGCTTTAACTCTACCAAGTCAATTGGTAGATCATCTGCAGGAAAATTACAAGCTGTAGCCTTAGGACCCTGATCAGGCAGCAGGTCACAAGGGCTAGGCGTCACGCCACTCGTAATCCCCTCGATGTCAGTGCATGTCCACGGCTGCTTCTTTGCCTTTGCCGCCAATCCAATGGTCACATTCGAAATGCAAATCCCGGTGAAGGGGTGATCTGCTATGCCTTCCAATCTTGCAGCTATGGTTACATTATCAGCCACCATGTCCCTGTAGTTGATCCCTTTGATCTCAGGCACTGCATTTTTATCATACTTGCCATCAGCGTGTGACCCATAATCCCCGTTCATTTTAAATACCCATTTCATGGTGTGCATGGTCATTCTCCTCACATATATGTCCTTCACGTACCCTCCTCTCCCTACAGCTGTCTTGATCCTGATCCCCGATTCGGTATTGATGGCCACGATGTCTTCGGCTCTGACGTCTTGGATCCCGCCGGACATTTCACTGCCTAATGCAATGGTGGCACTGTAGGGTGAAATGCATGTGAGCCGTCTGATTACTAGTTGTTTTGTAGGCCGTCCAAATGCTATACCGTACTCATCCCAACCGCTCTTCACAGCCACACAGTCATCCCCAGAGACTATGTAGCAGTCTTCAATTCTAGTATTGGTGCAAGAATCTGCATTCGAAAAATAACAAAAATATATACCAGTTTTTAGTATATATTTTTCATTAAAAATTATATATACTTGGACCCCATTATTGACCACTACATGATGTTTCAATTGACAAACCTGGGTTGATCCCATCTGTGTTTGGAGATGTAATTGGAGCGATGACCGTAATCCCTTGCACAAGAATATTACTGCAATATCATAATTTCAATTTCTTAATCATAACACAATCTTGAAACTGGAAAAAGCAATCTCGTCTAGAATTGTTCACGTGTGTGAGTGACTGTCAGCTATTGATGCAAGTGAATCTCACAATGTATCAATAACTGGCAACCACCAACGGGAGCGAGCGATTCTCCTTAGCAGTTTTCTATGCTTTATATGAGAAATGTGGTCAGTAAAGTGGGCTACAAACGAGTTTTTATTAGTGGGAGCATATTTGGTTACCTGCTATAAACAGGATGAACATTCCATGATGGAGAGTCTCTGAGAGTTAGATTTGAAATTTGGATATCGGTTGAGAACATGATCTCAATCAGGTAAGGTCGGGTGTATTTTAGCTTCTTCTTGTGGAACTGCTGCCACCAGAATTCACCTTGGCCATCAATTGTGCCATTGTCTCCTGAAATGATCAAATGGGGCCCCCAATGAATTTGGTGATATTCAGTTGAAATTGAGCCAAATAAAATTATCATAAATCTGAAAATTAAATTAAACAAAACAACCAACCTGTAACAATGACATCAGTGAGATTTGTTCCAAATATGAGACTACTGAACCTTCCAGCTGCTGCATCCCTTCCTCGACCATAAGATGGCAGGGGTTTGAGCACAGGCCATTCGTTCACATCCTAAATCATTTGATTAGTTGATTTATTAACCTCAAAACATACAAAATGTATCCTTTTTGGATCGTTGATTTTGTGTTTATGTCCAAAACTACGTCGTTACAGTATCAATCAAAACACTAAACCTTAAACCATAAACCTTAAACTCCAAAACAAACGTCGTTTCAGACACCAGCACAAAGATTAGTACTAAAAAAGATCAAGCCCCATTTCATAAATCTAACCCTTTTCATGTCAAATAGTTACAAAATAATTAAACAGAACAAATGGGAAATATTTATATGCATCTTTGGGGAGAAAGGAAAATGAGAGAGACCTGAGAAGCAAGGAGAACAGCATCCTTGTGGAGATAGAGAGTGAAGTGGCTGATGAGGTTGAAGCTTCCTGTCAACCATTTCCCCGCTGGAACAAAGAGCTGAGCACCTCCTTCACTTGCATATTGGCTCAGCTGACTGATTGCAGCCTGGAAAGCCTTTGTGTTTGATGACTTTCCATCTCCAACTCCCCCAAATTCAGTCAGTGAGGCACTGTGAGCTCTGCAGCTTATAGCAGTGTACTCAAGTGATTCAAATTTCATGGTTGTTCTGCTCTCTGCTCCTCTTAGTAACCCCACCACAACAAGTACTAGGAATAATTTAATCACCTGAAAAATCAAGAAAAGAATTAGGAAAAACACCTACAAAAAAAGGAAGAAGATGCCAAGAGTATGTAACAGAACAACATAATGCATGAATGTTTGGATGGTGAGAAAATGCAGGAAAATGAATGAAAGAGAGAAAGAGGTTTGAGGTTTTACTTGGGTTCTTCTTCCCAACAACTCCATTTTGGAAAAAGGCAGCTTGGAATTTGTTTTAGGTGTTGCAGAGAAGAACAAATTAATGGGGGTATATATATAGGGGTGAAGTTCAGCTGTGAACACTTATGCAATGCTTGCTCTCATTGGGCTCTGTCATTCTTATCAAAAGAAAAGAAAAGAAAAGAAATTTTTGGTTGCATATTATGTGTTTAATAAATATTTATTTTGGTATGATTATATTTGTATATAGTCAATCATGCCATATGACAACAATAAAGAACAACGGTTATAACAGTCTCTCTTTACCTAGTTAAAGAAAAAAAGAAATAAAAAAACAAGGGACATCATTTATTAAGTTAAGTTGGTTTCTTGCATGAAATCTAAACTATGCAGAGGGAGATTTGAACTCGGGTGCAGAGTAGGGGACACATCTACTCTAGCCAATGGGAGAGGTAGTGTTTGATATTTGGGGGGGCCACAAGCTTAAAACTATGAGATTTTTTTGTGCAATCTATACTATAGTCTTTATACAGTCAAAGAGATAGGAAGATGGTAGGGGGGCCAAGCCATCTCAGGCCTATGAATAGCTTCACCCCTGACTCTAACCAACTCGGCTAAATCTATATCTGCTTGTATGAAATAATCTATTCTCCAAATTTACATAAAAATTAAAAAAGAATTTAAATGATCACAAGCAAATTTTTAAGTGAAGTGTATTGCATCAAGCTCTAATAACAATCACGTGAATTCATATAAATACAATTATGTAATATACTCTTTGGTAAAAAAAATAAAGAAGTGAATGGTTTTGCCGACCAGTAACTATGCTATTTCAAATGCAAACAGCCGCCTTTTTTTTTTTTTTTGGGTGTTGGTATTATTATATATGGTTGGAATTAGTTCAACTGCCCTTGAAGGCGATTCAAAAGGTGCTTTAAACCTGGAAAATTACATTTTGCAACTCCTCACGAGCTTATTACGCCACTTATTACGCATTGTTCCAATGCGGTATAAACGGGAATCGTTAAGATTTGTACTGTTCTGTTGGAAAGTAGTTAGTGGGTCCCATTCTTATCACTTTGTTGAAGTTTGCATATTCATCCAATCTCGTGATCTTTTCACTCTGCTCATACTTCAGCCCAGGCATGGCCGACCCATTCACGGGTCACAAACTGGTGGGCTCCATCTTTTAAACAGATTATTATACGGATTGTAATTATATTATAAGCCTCTCTGTCTCTCCTAATTAAGTAACATGCATACATGCATTGTCTATGTAATTGGATAGTAGAATTCGATACACCACATCAACACGTCACGTGATAAATCAAATACGCATAAGGCATGTATCACTTGAGACGCCTTAGCTTTAAAATGAAAATAAAAAAGGCCGAAAAATTATGTGCATGTATGCAAACCATGCTAAGTTATTTTGGGATATGATTAACTTCTGTTAAATGTAAATCAAGCACTCCTAATTTCTGAAGAGAAGTGTTTTGGATGATATATAAAGTCCAAAAGGATTGAAAAAGAACCCTGACAAACCCGTGAAGGTTGATGGATGATGGGTTATGGCATGGAAGTTTGGCTTCTTTGTCATGAAAAAAAAAAAACAAAAAAGAAATTAACACTTACTCTTTGATTGTTTTTGTTGAGAATATGATATTCCAAACTAGTATAATTTAGCGAAATGGGTGGATGAGCACACTGTCCTAATCAACTAGACTAACCAGTATGTGTAGCCTAGAACATTCGAAAAGCTAATATAGAGGCTAAAAACAGTAGCAAGTCACAAGATTGTGTTATATTCACTCACGAGAGAGGGGAGCCTTCAATTCCCAAGAAAAGGCCAAACGTCTAAATCCCAGTATATTCTTAGTGGAAAGCTTTGTAACGTGGTTCTTGAGACTTGAGAACGAAACAAAACAAGCACCTTCTTCTCCACGCCCTTAAAGTGCATATCACACACATCATATATATGACATTACATGACATGAGTCTCAATCTTTGTTTTTAAATAATGCATATAACAACAATTCTTGGTGTCTAGTCCAATGAAAAATTTGCAGATAAGTGGTTTCATGATTGAATCTTTATTCTTAATAGTGTGAGAAAATCCTCTCCTCCTTTTTAATTTTTAAGAAAGAAAAAAAAAAAATTCTTAGTATTTATCTTTCGGCGGATGATAAATAAATATTATTCTCTTGGTGGTGAATATTGGTAAAATATTGGACTCACTTCTTTGGTGGAGACAAAATAATCCCTTAGCCATTTGGACCATTAGGCACGCCACGTTCAAGAGTTCTGAGATAAACCCACTATTTTTGCGGCTTTTTGTGGAAAATCCAGTCATGGGGTGTATATTTATATTTATATACTACATTTTTATGGTAGTGCAGAAGTTGTAGTGAGTGGACCACCAAACCATTCTAGGGTTCTTGGAGCTTCTCTAGTGTGGTGCAGCCCAAATTAACAATTGCCAATTGGGGTGCGTGACATTCTACTCCAATTCTCTTCTTTCCATTTTGCTATTTTCTCTTTTGATAAGGCAGGTTTCATTTGCATCTGATCAAATGGGTCGGGTAGGCCCCAATAAATAATAGAACATGGGCTTGCTTACTCACTCTTGGGCCTTTTTTTACCATGATGGATTGGACGGACTGAGTTGGGCTGATGCTATCTCAAATAGGCTAAAACCCAGGTCCGACTCCGCTGGAGAGTATCTTCGAGTCCCAACGGACGGAGCGTGCTACGCTAGGGTTGCTGAATTTTGAGTGCTATATCTTTAATAAGTCTTAATTTGATTATTTGCTAATATTTTTTAGTTAATTTTATTCATATTATGGTAATTTATTTGTATTAACATTTCAACCCAGAAAACAAATTTTAATTCCCAATGAGTTTGGGTTAGCCGTTGGATTTGTGTACTGTCGGATTAGATGGGCCATAGAATTGCTGAGTTTGTGGAGGAGAATGGCACGAAATGTGAGTGCTCAGTGGGACCCGCGTGGGCCCGCATATTGTGTGGCCCAAAAGCATTCGCGTGGCCTGATTGTTTTCAAACTCGGGTAGGCATCATGTTCTAAAGACCCAAATATCGGCCCATTGGAGATTTGCTTTGGGTTGGGTTCGTCAATTCGACACTGTTTTGTGCTCTGATTTTTGAATTAAAATGAGGGTCAAAAGTCACATTTGGTCCAAGTAGTTTGACACTTGTATTACTTTTGACTCTGTAATTTCAATTTTGTCACTTTTGACCATGTAATTTAAGGGGAATGCTAGCAACCTTCTCTCTAACCTTCTCTTTTGGACCTTCTCTCTTCTCTTCATGACATGTGTCACTTCTCTTTCACTTAAATCAATGTTTTTAATTACAGAAAAAATATTAATTGTATTTCCATATTTACCCTTGATAAACTAGTCCAATTCTCCTGTTTCTTTTATCAACGTGGAAAACACAAAAACTAATTCTTAAAGATAAAACAAAAATCAAACCCAAAAAAAAAAAAAACACCTTAAAGATAAAACAAAAAACATACCCCCAAAAAAAAATCCCAAAAAAAAAAAAACACCTTAAAAGATAAAACAAAAATCAGACCCCAAAAAAAAATAAAACACCCGACCACGCCGGCAAACCCCTTCCTCCCCGCCGCTGGAAACACCTTCTTTTCTCTCTCTTTCCCACATTAGATATGGATCCAGATCAAACAAGATAAATTATTTAGACTTAAAAAGCAATGACGTATGTTGAAGAAGGGATGAGAACATAGCATAACCCATGGATGTTCAGGAGCAAGACGACATCTTTTGCTCTTAACATGTGTTTGCCAAAACGCCAAACTGTACCAAATCGAAGGAAATGTGATACGTGCTTTCTACCTCCAATTACATATTTTGGGTCATAGGGTTATATGAGAGAGATCCAGATCTGGTGTGGAACAGAGAGAGAGAGAGAGAGGAAAGGAGGCTTTGCTGGCGGCAAGGAGGAGAGGGTTTGCTGCCGCCGGGGTGGGGTGGAAGACAAGGTTGGGTTTGGAGCTTTGGTGCCTGTTCACTTTCTGCGTTCAGTTACTTCTTTTTGTTTATGCGTTCAGAACTTTAATTCAATTTTTTTTTTAAAATTTCATATTTCCATTCTCTTTTTTTTTTTGGGTCTGATTTTTGTTTTATCTTTAAGAATTAGTTTTTGTGTTTTCCACGATGATAAAAGAAACAGGAGAATTGAACTGATTTATCAAGGACAAATATGGAAACACAATTAATATTTTTTCTGTAATTAAAAACATTGATTTAAGTGAAATAGAATTGACACATGTCAAGAAGAGAAGAGAGAATGTCCAAAAGAGAAGGTTAGAGAGAAGGTTGCTAGCATTCCCCGTAATTTAATATTTGTAACAATTCAATGACAACATGAAATTTCTGTCAATTTCTTTAATGGAGAAACCACGTGGAGGGGCAATTTTGTCAGACCAAAACCCCACGCTAAAAGCTGGTCTCTACCTCTTCCCCAAGGCGCGATAATTGAAACTACATGGTCAAAAGTGACGAAATTGAAACTACATGGTCAAAAGTGACGAAATTAAAACAAAAGTGGTTGAAGTGTCAAACTATAGGTTCATTGTTAGAAGTTTTCTTTTTTGCAAGATAAAGATATTCATTTCATATATCCAAGGCCGACATTGATAGTATGAACTCTTGCGTAATATAAATACCTGAAAATATCATACTCGTTGGGTCATCATATCTCATTAAGTGATTTGACCAAAAAAAATTCTCATTAAGTGGCACATTTGACTCGTTAAGTGAAGTAGCATCACATCAAGGACATAATACATCATATAACTGATCATTTGTCCCGTTCGTACTTAAAATGTGTTCCAACTATTAAAAAAAAACAAAAAAAGTAGTTTAAGATGGAGAGGAGGCTTCCAATTCAGAGAGGTTGAATTCAACACAACCAGCTAATTTTGTAAAAGAAAAAAAAAATGACACTTCTGACATTACTCCTTGTTTTATGGGAGCATTTTTGCTCACCACTTTAACTATAAGTGTACCCTCACCACCATCCTCAATGCTTGACACGTGTCCATAGGTATAATCATGATTCCGTAAATACAAAGCAAAAGTTAACTATGGTTATGTCTATGGACACTTGTCAAGCATTGAGGATGGTGATGAGGGTACACCTATGATTAAAGTGGTGAGCAAAAATGCTGGAAATATCTTCCTCAGATCAGAGGCAATGTAAAAAAATATGGAAATATCTTCCTGCGCATCTTAATGGTTGTGTCTCAAATGAATTGGACAATTTATTCTTCTCAAAAAGACAATTAATTGCAACTTCATTGTGACCACTCCTTCTACTAACCCTTGTAAAATGCAGGTGACCATTCAAAATCAAGACAGTACACACACACATGACACATCTACTGATATATAAACAAGTTCACTCTTTTGGCAAATCCCATTTGAGCAAAAACATAACATATCATGGCGAAAGATCATCTCCAGGTTGTGATGCTTCCATGGTCTGCCTTTGGCCATATGATGCCTTATTTCCAGCTCTCCATAGCCTTGGCCAAAGCCAAAGTTCATGTCTTTTTCATATCCACACCAAGAAACATCCAAAGGCTCCCCAAAATCTCATCTGATTTAGAGCCTTTTGTGCATTTAGTCCCTATCTCATTTCCTCCCTTGGACCCTGGCTTCTTGCCAGAAGGTGCTGAGGCATCTGTGGATGTACCCTTTGAAAAAATTGACAACTTGAAGGCTGCATATGATCTGCTGCAGCAACCCATCAAGCACTTCATTGGGGAGCATTTGCCTGATTGGATTATAACTGATTCTTTTGCTCATTGGGTGGTTGATATTGGTAACGAGTTTGGTGTTCCAGTTGGGTATTTCTCTCCTTTCTCTGCTGCTACCAGTGTCTTCTTTGGCTCACCAGAAAATCTCTTGGGTACAAAGAGAAATCATGCTCTGCCAACACCAGAAAGCCTAACAGCACCCCCAGATTGGGTTCCTTTTCCTTCAAAGGTGGCATACAGAGACTATGAGGCTGTTTATGTGCCAAGGGGATTTTTTGGATCACATAATGGAGAAATAAGTGGTGCTGGGAGGCTTGCCAAAGTTGTTTCAGGAAGTCAAGTTTTAGCAATTAGAACTTGCAATGAGGTTGAAGGAGACTACTTAGAAGTGTACAAGAAAATCACTGGCAAGCCTGTTTTCTCCACAGGTTTGCTTCCTCCAGAGCAACCTCCAAAGAGGGCAAAAGGAGAAATTACCACTGATGATGGGATCTTTGACTGGCTTGACAAGCAAAAACCCAAGTCAGTTGTGTTTGTAGGGTTTGGGAGTGAGTGTAAGCTGAGCAAAGAGCAAGCCTTTGAGATTGCTCATGGGCTGGAGCTATCAAAACTTCCATTTCTCTGGGCACTATCCAACTGGGCAAATAGTGATGCAGATGCTTTGCCTGAGGGTTTTGCTGACAGGACATCGGAGAAAGGGCTTGTTTGCTTTGGATGGGTGCCCCAGTTTGAAATTTTGGGGCACCCATCAATTGGGGGGTCTCTGTTTCACTCTGGATGGGGCTCTGTAATTGAAACTCTGCAATTTGGGCATGTTCTTGTTGTGCTGCCACTCATTATTGATCAGCCTTTGAATGCAAGGCTTCTGGAGGAGAAGGGTCTGGCTGTTGAAGTGAAACGCAAGGAAGATGGGTCGTTTAGCAGAGATGAGATAGCCAAAACACTCAGGCATGCAATGGTGGAAGAGGAAGGAGAGCAGCTCAGAAGCAATGCAAGAAAAGCTGCAGCTGTTTTTGGAGATCACAAGCTGCACCAGGACCATTACATTGGCCAGTTTGTCCAGTTTCTGAAAAATAATGTTGCAAAAAGATCATCCTAGATCTTCCCTGTTAGATTGGCAAAATAACCCAAGAATGGAAACCGAACTTTCAGGGCATTTCAGAGAATTTGTTCATGAATTTCTGTTCTTGATCTTCGTTATTGTTATTATTGCATGTCATGCGTTTGAATAAAATTTATCACGAGAGTGATGTTTCTGGTTGGTATTATTATATTAGCGTTTGAATAAATTGAAAACTCCCCTTATGTATTGTTTCAATTACCCACATGCGTATACTCAATTATCTTCTCCTTTTAAATGACATTGCTTCACCTGCCCCACCCTATCCTCTCCTCCCTCGTCACCCACGTGTTTAGCAGTTGCCAACTTGCCGTTGTCCACCGCTATTCACCAATAATCACTATATTCAGATTATACAGAAATATATGCTTGCCGGAAGATCTTGATGACACTGGTGATTGATACAATACATAAAGTGAGTTTTTAACTGAATACAATTTTGCTGATGTGGTTTAATCTTAGCCAAAAGATTAATCAAATGGTTAAAATTCCTTTAAATACGTATAAATACACCGAAACTAAATGTAGAGGTTCGGGATCCGTTATAATAAGTATTTTATGAATTAATACAATATCTCAAAGTATAAAATCCTCGTCCATTTATTTATTACATCATGTGAAATTATTCTAATATTGTACAATAATTTCTCATGCATCGATTAAATCACGTGCCATTAATTTGATACCTTACAATTATTTATCATCAGGAGTAATATACATTACATTTCCCCTCACCCGGAAAAAAAAAAAGCAATATACTAAACTGACATGAATTTAGAAATTTTGTGGTAGAAAACTAATTGTCGCCAACGCAACAAGGTCTAGTCCAATGGAAAATGAACTTGAATTGCAAAGCAGTGATTTTAGGTTCAAACCATCATGATACCCTAGGAGTGTGTGTGAGAAAATCCATCTCCATTTTTCTGACTTTTCTAACTTTACCTTAGAAGTATGCTAAATTAGATTTTTATAAGATAACATTTTTTTGATACAAATAATAGTCTACTTTAATCTAATCTAAACTACAGGAAGGGAGATTCAAACTTGGGTATAGAATGGGGAGCACATCCACCATAATGAACTTAACTAAGCTCATGTCTGCCCCACATGATACGATGTGTTCGGAAAAGATGTGGCAATTCTACCGTGCAAAACTTTATTTGGTTGCATGGATGGGCCTTTTATGCTCAATAATAGTTGGGGGTTAGAAACGACAGAAGAAATAATGAATACTCGTCCACCAGCCAACCCTGGTAGCTACCATTCCGGTGTTGAAAGTGTTGACTGTCTGATGGGTTGGCTTGGTGAGAAAAAACTTATCCTTTCGTTGCCCTTTTTTTTCTCTCTCTCTCTCTCTCTCGATGTCATTTATAGGACATAGAAATTGGAAGAACAGAGGCAATGCAACGAGGATAGGAAAGTCTTACTCGTAGCTTGAGTGGTGATGTTTGGTATTTGGATTTTCTTTTTCTATAGCACTTCTTGGTTTTTTAAACCCTTTTAAACCCTAAACTATAGTTTAAGTTCAAAATCAAACAATATCCAGCAAAACAGAGAATCCAAATTCATCCATTTCTTGATCTATGGCAATCCCAAGAAACATCCATATAATTGAGAAAATCCACTACTTGAAAGTATCTTATGATCCACTAGTTACAGAATAAAATAAATATAAAAATTTAATGCCCCTCATAGTGCTTTCTCTGTCCTCTCCAAAGCCACAAATGCTTTCCTTGGGACCGCAAGGTTTATTGTTGGTGCTGGCATGCAGTTGAATGCAAAAATGTTTATTTTAATTTCATGTGGATGTGCTTCATGTAGGAGCTAACAGAAACTCAAAGGGAGAGAGAGAGAGAGAGAGAGAGACTTGTAAAATAACCCACAATTATTATTTCAGACAGAAACATCCAACTTTCTAGACAGATTTTAGATCACAAGATGCACTAAAAATACTAGAATGGCAATAACCCGAGTTCCAGAATCTCAAAGTACGAAGATATCCACCTCCACAATGCTTATGATCTGAAACTAATTTGGGTAACATGCTAGATTTATTAGATAAAAATAATAATGAGCTTCTAAAATGACCTTCTTGTGACATTATTTTTAAGGTCTTGGTGCAGCTTGTGATCTCCAAAAACTTTCGCAGCTTTCCTTGCATTGCTTCTGAGTTTCTCTCCTTCTTCTGCCACCATTGCATGTCTCAGTGTTTTGGCTGTATCATCTTTGCAAAACGACCCATCTTCTGTGCGTTTTACTTCAACAGCCAGATCCTTCTCCACCAGAAGCCTTGCGTTCAAAGGCTGATCAATAATGAATGGCAAAACAACAAGAACATGCCCAAATTGCAGAGTTTCAATTACAGAGCCCCATCCAGAGTGAAACAGAGACCCCCCAACTGATGGGTGCCCCAAAATTTCCATTTGGGCCACCCATCCAAAAGAAACAAGCCCTTTCTTTGTGTACGGTCAGCAAAACCCAGAGGCCGAGCATCTGCTTCACTATCAGCCCTATTGGGTTTTCTAAGTGTTGAACCAAAAAAATTCACACACAAAAAAAGGTCATTTGTTAGAAAAACAAAATGCATGGATTGTCTTTGGTTATGTGCCACGTCCAGCAAGCCTCAAATTGAAGGCAGAAACATAGCACAAGTGAAGCACAATTCCTCAGCTAAATTACAAGTGATTTTTTACACATATATGATATATCCTGTGGGCATTTCAAATTGCATGGCCAAAAGATATGCAATTCAAAAGTGGTGTGCTTCAACAAATCTCCTCACTCCTTTGCAGCTTGATAATCCATATATAAGAAAAGAGTTAAAAAAAAAGGGAAGTTTGACCAACCAATGAAAACTCTCAAGAGAGGTTGGCGGTTCCTGTTTTGGTGGAGCTGATTATTGAATGAAGAATCCTTCACAAAAGAGATCTCTCACGCCTAACCTAGAAAAGCACGGGTACAGGAACAAAAAAATGGGGAGGATCAGCCGGCAGGCTGCAGAGATACAAAAAAAGATAAAAGGAGAAGCCGCAAGGCTTGCGGAAGAATGGAGCACAATCGTGCTGAAGAAAAACAGACAACGGCAATCAAAGATACATTTTGCATCTACAACAAAGCTCCTCTCTTGAGTTCATCCAAGCTTGGCTATAAAATGCTTGGGTACAAATGCATGGCAATCCATGTTGGGTGGCAACTCGCAAATCAATAATGCTCTGCCGAGCGAACCTTCATGCTTAGGTATAAAATTCGCAAATCAAACAAATGGATGGTAATCCATGTTGGGTGGCAACCCACAAATCAATAATTCTCTGCCAAGCAAATTTCCATGCTCTGCCGAGCGAACCTCCATGTTCTTCCAAGCGAAGGTTTGAAACCAAGGCTTTTTCAAGTCCCTCACATCACTTTTGGTGCCAGCAACAAATGAAAGCAAAGTGTCTAGGCATTTGTGCCCCCTTTGTGTTCCAAGGGACAAAGACGTGAGTTCACTGCTTGTAGCACCAAGCTAAGCAAGTGCACAAGAGTGTCAACGAATGTTCACGAGAATTAAATCAATTGATGGTCAAAGAGGCTCAATAAAATGCTGATGACATTCGAGTCTATCTACCTCAATTCTCAAATGCAAGATGGCAACCAAACACACCCACAAAAACCCAACAAGAAATATGGGAATTAATCACGGGCAAGGAAGCTATTCAGAAAGGAGTGCCAAGCCACTCAACCATGCCATGACGGTGACTCCAATCCAAGTAAATGATTGGTCATGCTCTGAACATCAAGCTCACTCTCAAAAGATACCAAAGGAGCATCAATATGGATTAACGGGTTTGTCAATCACAAGAACCCATTAATACCAAATCCTCCAAATCGTGCGTGGATACAAATGCATGTATCAATGATCAAATTAAATTAGTGTGTTCATTAAAATTGCCCATTAGTTTAATTTTTGGACATTAACAATAAGAAAACGAAATAAAACCATCCAATCTTTCCCATGGGTCATCTACCTAAGAAAATCTTAACATCTTCAAATTGTCTCAAAGACACAATTTCTAAATTAGTGAGCCACACTTACCCATTAATTTCTAAATTTCCGAACTATGTTAGTTTGATTCCTTCGAAATGGTACGTCGGCAATCTAGAGACTCATTCTAGATGCAACCGCCCAAATCTTAAATCCAAACAGAAACCCTGGTTTATTCTTAACCAAATTCGCCCCAAACACAATTCCATATCGAATCCTTGGTTTATTCAGCTACATTCTCTCAAACACTTCTCAATACAATTTCAACCAAATTTTCCTTGCAATGAGTCATTTATCCATTGTGATTCTTTGAACTACGAGTGGCTTGATTCCCACGAGGGATATGTAGGCACCCTAAGGTTGGACTTAGGAGCAACTGCAAAACCAAACACACATGTTCTGTTTCTTTACGATGGAATCAAAAGGTGTTCTCTTGAAACAAGAGATTGTAATTAAGAGACATTGCGTCTCGAATGGGTCAAATCTAAAATAATAAAATCCTATTATTTAAATAATTATGATAAAATTGAAAACTCAGTATCCTGCAGTGCATGAAGATCAAATAAAAGTGGATATCAGATTGTATTAGACCCTCCAAAAGCATTAGCTCCCAAGACAAACCACAGAGATGAAACACTGGATTTAAACAAAGCCATCCGAACCCAAAAAAGTAAAACCGAAACGCGAATTGGAATCAGACTGATGAGACACCCAGATGATGATATAAGTCAAAGACCCAGAAATCTACCTTGAAAAACAAAGCCTTGGAATTAAAACATGCAAGATTCTGAAAATTATATCAAAAGGAAAAAAGAAGAGCTTTTCTTGCCTGTAATCTTCACAAGCCTCAACCACCAGTCTTATCTGCTCAAGATGATTTATTTACAACTGGTAAAGAATCCAAGTGGATTGATTATAAGAGAGAGAGAGAGAGAGAGAGAGAGAGAGAGAGAGAGAGAGAGAGAAGGGGAGGAGGTTATGCAATGAACGTGTTAGTGGAGGGTCACTATCACACTTACCTATGGCCAAAGGCTACGGAAAGTTGAAAGAAAGGCATCATATGGCCAAAGACAGACCATGGATGGAAGCATATAGCCAATTGTATCGGCTATATGTTTAAAGTTCTG